TAGTAAGAATGAAACTTAAAAAATGAAGCAAATTCATAGGGAGAGATTTTTTCCATAGCCTTCAGTAAAGAAACCCAATTCAACAAATTCTTAACCTAGTTATACGCAATTCAAACAATTTCACATGCATATACATATATGCATGTGTGTGTATATATAGAGAGAGAAGACGACCTGAACAACCCCAGCAAAGGACTAGCTCCAACCATTAGCGAGTGAGAGGGGAACGATGTCCACTGACATAACAACTTTGACTATCTCCAAAGTGATGAACTGATGAACTCATCGAATATTGGCCGTGAAATTCGTCTTCATCCCCAAATGAACCGCTCGTGATGGACTGAGCTTCCTCCGAAGAAGCCCTAACTTCAGTCGATCAAAGAGATCGAAATTTATGCCCATCGTTTGCAAATCGAATTCTCAAAGTACTAGAACTTGTTGAACAACCATGGATTCGTGATGCTTGTTCGGATTGCGAAGGGTTTAGGGTTTTGAAAGCTCGAATGTAGATGGTAACAAATCAGTTGGTCAGCAGAGGTGAGTAATTCATGATGTGAGAAATCGATTGGTGATGATGTGAAATTCAATTGCAAGGGATTGAGGAATGCTCTTTTCTAGGGTTGAGATTTTTCATCGAAGACCTGATTGCCAAGAGAATATTCTGCGACAATTATTTATAATCAAAGAGAAGAGAAGAGAAGAGACGAGACTAGAGAGATGATACTTAAATACATATTTATTACCTCTGCCCGGTTATTTCTGGCGGTTTTGCAAAAACTGCCGGTTTTGTCTACACTGGCAGTTTTTAAAAACTGCCGGCAATAAAGGCAAATTTCCGGCACTTTTAGAACCCCCAATAAAAAACTGCCGGTGTACGCTATAAATCTTGTAGTGAATAGAGACCTTAAGGCATGTTTGATAGCTATATTTGTTTTCTTATTATGCATAATATTTTTATTGTCTATTTTCTTAACTTAATCTCTCAAGAGGTTTGAGTCTCATCGATAATAAATTTGACTCCTTTAATAGAAATATTGAAAACGTGACGAAATGGAGGAGAAGAACTTTGATGCTATGTTCGGTTGCATGGAATCCATGCACCAGTTTCATACAACAAAACATAATTGAATCTAAAGTTGAGAATTTTGAAATATTATTGATGAATGAATATATATCTATATCCCTTATAAAAGTGAATTTAATTTCTAATATTTATATACATTTTAAAAACAATAGTTAGTTTATATGATACCAATAGTTTTAAAGGAGACCATAACAAAGCTAATTTCCAAAAGACATAAGCCGTTAAGATGCATATTGTCAAGGGTCATCAGTTGTCTATAAATACCTAGGAGTCCTGTACATTAAAATCTCATAAAATAAAAAATTTCTCCTTGCAAAAATGTTATTGTATTTCGAAGCCTAGAGAATTCTTTTTCTAATTGCATTAACGTCTTTATTTAATATTTAGTTTTTTTATGTGGATAGAAGTTGTTGTGAGTCATCAGATTTGGGGTGTTGCCAACTCTTCTTTTTAAACAATTCTCACACATTCTCTCTAATTTAACGCTAGTGACTCTTTTTTTTTTCCCCATCATCTCTGCCTGATTCTTCTCTCTTTTCTTTGCTCTTATGAGTACATTGTTACACTACACACACCCAAATATACTAATTTGAATGGCTTTTCTTTCGAAAGGTTGCTAATTTGAATGTTATGCGTATATATGCGTACGCATATATCAGTATAAGCTGTTAAGATGCCTGTTGTAGTCAAGGGTGGTCAGTCGTCTATATATACTCCTATAGGTTAAGATATCGGGAATGCAAATTAATTTCACGGATAGCAAGACAAAACATCCTCAGAAATTTTGAAGAGACAAGATGAGTGTAGCTCATAGCATCAAGGGTTCAACTTAATTAACTTCTCCTAAAGAAAATTTCGGGCCTCTCAATAGCAACATGAGACATCAACCGAAGTGGTTAATTCAAATGAATCCAAAGAAGTTAAGAAATTCAAAATAAAAGTAATAATTTCTTATGGCTCCAAAAGAAGAAAGAAAAAGAAGAATTTCAGAAGCAGATGATGACACACACGAATGCTCAACCTTAGAAAATACAAACACGAATGCTCAACAAGGAACAAAACAACTGTAATTTAAAGGTTAAGGTGCCAATTAATGGAAATTTTAGTATTTGGATTAAAAATACAATTTATTGAAAAATATTTGAACTTCCACAATATGTCATTGACAAGATAGTTGATGCTCTAGTCAATGGAACATGCAAATCAGTGTAGGAAATTTTCTTATACGTCATTTTCCTATGGGATAACAAGTTTGTTATCAAATTCTTAGTAACACCAAATTCACCAATCAAATGTCTAAATGAACCAAAGGTTTCCAAACTTAGAAACTGCATGATAAGAGTATGTAATTATCCTTTGATGATCATATTCGGGCGTAATACTCTCCTCTCCGTCCATTTGTAACAAGGGGTATCTCTAATCCTCCAAGAACCAGAATTACCCCATCACCGTCTGCTATTGTAAAGACCTCACACCAAAACTCCTCATCCTCCTCATCATCATAATCATGCGAAAACAAACCGAAAACTTTATATTTGTTCCTATCCAGAATGAATCCCAAACCAATTCCCCCAAATTTGACCAACTTTCAGGCAATTTGAGAAACTCATGGGTGCTTGGGTTACATACATACACATGAACAAAAGGGACCAAGCATATCAGACCGAAACAAGAAATCCAAGAACTAATATGATCATCAAAGAGCTTAGTAAAGTTGTCACATAATGTTCCATTGTTCAAGTCGACAAATGTTATCCGAACAGTTGATTAAGTCTTGACATTTTCGGAGAGTTCAAAATTAAGATTAGTGCACAGCAATAGAGGGGTTGTATTAGATAAACGGGTGTGCAAATTCAAGAGCAGTTGATCAGAAGATATCAAAAAGAGCCATTCATTAGAAATTGACCTGAACTTGCAGAGGTCCTTTACTGGGAGTCTGATTAGTATGTGGATCAGTATCTCGCGAGGTAAATCAGTACCTTCTGTGACATCGTCTTTGTTGTTGATGTTCAGGGCCAATCTTTCGGGAGGTTTATGTAAACGCTCTTCAGCATCTTCCATTTCCAGACAACACCCTAGATAGATATCTCAAAACCCCATTCACCGTTGAGAAGGGGAAAGAAGACAGTGGGTGATAAAAGAAGAAAATAAGGGGTTAGGATTTGAATATTTTTATAAATATACCATTTTTTTTCTTGTTAAGTACAGATCATGGCTAGTACTAAGGTGGTTGGTTTTAATTTTAGGCTGAAATGTTTATTAACAACAATCAAATCAATTTGTTGCAACGAGTTTTAGATATATATTTTTTATTTTTTTTATTCTTATTCTTATTTTTTACTCTCATTTTAAAGTAAGTATTCGTCTTTTTATTTTTATTCATCGTATTTAATAAGTGTTCAATTTAAAAAGTAAATGTATTATTTTTGTAATATTAATAATTTATTTTTTTTTCCTTTTCATTCAACCTATATAAATAAATCATCACTAATGATCTACTATGATTAAATTTGATAATTTATTTATTATTAATTAAATAAAAAATAGTAATAATTTTACTCTTAAAAAGTATTCTACAAAAAATTCACTTATTTATTATTATTTATTTATTATATTTTATTTTATGTATTTATTTATTATTTGGATAAGAGACCAAATTCATGTTAAACTAGGATAAGGACTAACAAAGGAAAAAAATTTTATTCTATCGGAAGGTAAATATTGTATAAATGAAGAAAGAATATACAAGGCCCAAAAGCCCAACCCTAAAAGAAACTGAATACAGCATGTATTCCAAGCAGCCCATCGAGGCCCAAAAGAAGAATAAAGAGAATTGAAGCCTAAAGAACCCTAAACTAATGTTTTCTTTGCCTTCAGTCATATCCGCCGGTGCGAACAACAGGCGAGCACCGACTCCATCTTCAGTCGGTGGTTTGATTGAATAAGGAAAGTAGGAAACATATATATATATATATATATAATGGCAGCATAAAGCAGGTTATCTAACCTGCCAAGAAAATTATCGAATACCCCATTCGAAAGCACAAAAAGAAAAACTCTGCTCGGCTCTAAAACCCTAGTTGAAGGAAAATTTGGGGTATGGCTATGGAGAAAGACGAGTTATCACCGATCCTTCCGTACGATCTCATGACGGACGTACTGTCAAGGCTGCCCGTGAAGTCTATTGTACGGTTCAAGTGTGTATCCAAGTCTTGGCTCGCCTTGTTCGCACATCCCCACTTTGTGAGCCTTCACCTCACTCGATCCCGCAACTCCAAACTCGTGCTTGCATATTCGCTCGACTTTCTTTCAAATTTTCTTCATCGTCCTAATACATTGAACGACCTTTTCGTGCTGTCTTGCGCGGCATTGTTGAAGCAGCAAGTGATTATATTGATTTAATCACTTGCTATCAATTTGCTTTATTCTCCCATGTAATTTTTGACTACAAATAATGATTTTTGACTATCAATTTGCTTTATCTGTATTAGTCAAAAAGAAAATAAAAAATTTGCTTTATTCTCCCATGTAATTTTGCTGCAGTTGTTGTTATTCAATTTTCATACCATTGCTGTTAGAAATATATAATTTTAAATTTATGTATGTATATATGCTTATATACATGATGAGGAGATATTTTTTGATTTAAATGCCAGCTTCATCCATTTTCTTGATTTTGATTCATGTACTAATGCAAGAGGAGGCAGCAGCCAGACCACTTGCTTGCTGGAGAAGTCCACTTCCATTAGGTGGTGTGATGCTCCCTTTAATTTGACTCCATGCTCAACTATCAAATTTTGCAATTTTTTTAATGAAATGCTAAGCCAAACAAGAACTTCTGCCCATGGCTGTTAAACAAATATCCCTTAATGCTAATTCTTTTCTTTTTTCCTTCTGGATATGTACCTCAATGCTATTTCATCAATACTAATAACATAATATTATGTTTTAAGAAGATCTGCCCAGCAGCTACAAGTATCCAAATGTCATTCTACAATTCAAAACTCAAATCAGGTGGAAAAAATCTGAAGTTTGCATCACTGAAAAGAACTATAGAAGCAGCACCCCTTCCACAGAATGGATGGGAACATCATCCACAAGAGCCTTCCTGGTTAGAAAGCTGCAACACCGAATTAAAAAGGTATCAGTATCAGTATTTCTGGGACCAATTGATATGAACCAGAACCGTATCATGATATAAACAGGATTAAAATGCACAATACTTGTAATATAATTCATTGTAGAAAAAAATGAACCACTAGCTATAGAAATATAGGGGAAGAGTTATGAGCCTACGTAGAAAAGAAAAGTCTAGCAAGTAAAGGTGTGAAACAAAAATCTCTAGAACTACTATGGGGTAACAAGTTTGTTATCAAATTCTTGGCAAATCCAATCAAACGTTAAAACCAACCTAATGTTTCCAAAATTTAGAAACTGCATGTGTTAAGAGTGGTTCTTTCTAAATAGTTTTCCTTGATAGAGCATTTAGCATAAATTTGTTAAGAAAAATGGTTCCTGTCATTATTTTAAACTCTAAGAACCTCTGAAAAGAGAAAACCGCAACCCTTGAAATTCTACGACTGGAGAAGCAATTCAATATATGTACAATCAGAGCTAATTAGAACAGTACATAAGAGTGAATGCTGGAATACAAATCAAAAAAGAAATATAGTAGTTACCCGGCATTTGCCGTTTAAGCCAATGAAGTACTAATATGTATAACAGCGCATAAGACCAGAGTAATGTTCTATCTGTTTTCTACCAGTTCATTCTGACTTATTGTGTGAAACAACTGCTAGACTTGTAAACTAAAGTTGCTATAAAAGAGTTTATTATCAGATGCTTCGTCTCTGAGAGTCCACAAGAAGGTTAATTCCTCATATTGCAGAAAGCTCACCTTAATGCTTTTGAGATGTGGTAAACGGCTAAAGAACTAAACGTGTAAAATGAAAACAATGCGCCTATAAGTCAGTTTTAAGGGTAGGTGCCATTTTCACCGAAGGTTCATTATTTTAGCATGCAACTATCATTCCATTCTCCAAGGAAAAGGTTGAGTTTCTCAAATTTTTGTCAGACTGGTATTGTAGCAAATGCATGACATATAGCACATGACAAGTAAACTAGGATTGCCCGGGTGACCAGATTGATAATGTAAGCATTTCAAAATAGCTAAACAATGTGTTAATCTCCTTAAATAACAAACTCATGCACACCAAAGCAATAATGTTCAAATGCAAATTATTCATGGGAAGCAAGAGCAAACATCCTCAAAATAATTGAAGAGACGGGATAAGTGCACCTCATAGTATCAAGGGTTCAACTTAATAAACTTCTCCTAAAGAAAATTTCAGGCCTCTCAATAGCAATATGAGATATCAACCACAATGCCATAATTCCAATGAATCTATAGAAGTTAAGAAATTCATAATAAAAGTAATAATTTCATATGGCTCTAAAAGAAGAAAGAAAAAGAGGAAGAATTTTAAAAGCGTATGACACACAAAACATCTATTGGAACATGACTGCTCAACAAGGAACAAAACAACTGGAATTTAAAGGTTAAGTTATAGCATGGATTACAAAATATAGTACATATTATATAAAAATATTTGAACTTCCAGAATATGTTATTGACAAGACAGTAAATCGGTGTAGAAAATTTCTTATATGGCATTTTCCTATGGGGTAACAAGTTTGTTATCAAATTCGCAACACCACCAATCGAATGTTTAACCAACCTAAGGTTTCCAAAACTTATAAACTTCATGTGTTAAGAGTTGTTATTTCTAAATAGTTTTGCTTAATTGAAAATTTAGTATAAATTTGGCAAGAATCATGCTTCCTGTCAAGTACTTTAAACTCTGAGAAACTCTTACAAGAAAAAACCCACAACCCTCAAAGTTCTAAATCACACTAGGACCAGATTGTGAAGAAGCACTTCAATGGATGTTCATTCAGTCATTCATAGAAGATCAGGACAGTACATAAGAGACTGAAAACCGGAATACAAATCAAAAATGAAATAGAGTAGTCATCCGGCATCTACTGCTCTAAAGCTCCACTACTAATATAGTACTTATCCGGGGTTTGGATTACAAAATACGGAAAAAAATTCTAGAATAACATTTGACCATCCACAATATGATGTTGACAAGATAGAGCCCTAGCCAATGCAACAACTAAATCAGTGTAGAAAACTTTCTTATATGGCATTTTCCTTTTTCTTCTACATACCTAGCTTGGTGCATGTGGGCTTGGGCAATCGACACTTTTCAAAGTAAGGCCTTTTACCTTCACCATTTGCAAACTGTTCAGCATATTATGAATATTTGTCAAACTGTGAAGATATAATTTGTTTTTTCTTTTAATTTATTTATTGAACTAAAGTTTCCAGCCAAGTCCTGATTTGTAAACAGTACTACACCCTTCCCATTCTTTGATTTATAATTTAGTCATGATCGTGATACATTCATGGCCAGTACCATGCAATGTTATGCTTTTATATGACTAATATTTTAAGTTCAAGTTATTATATGTTCAGTTCAAGTTGTCTTTTATGCAAAGTTGAATCTTGTGCTGGCAAGTATTCAATATATACTTTTTAATTTGCTTATGATCTCTGCAATCTTCTTCGCACTAACCTTAAAATAAATACCATACATTATATGCTACACATCACATATATATGTGTGTGTGCCTGTGTCTGCGGGTGGGAAGATGCCTAGAGTGATTGTTTTCGCAATCTAATCTTTTCGGATAGCTAATCCATGGGTCAGTCACTTCATACAAGCGACTCATGCACAATAGAAACTAAGAACAATATGTCATTAAGCAGTTGCAAACAAGAAAACAAACTCCGCAAATGATTTTCATCAATGACAAGTACAAACATAGTACAAATAATAGAGGAGAACGGATGTTGGCACCAACTCATAGCAACAAGCACTAACCTTAATGAGTGCTGCATGTGTCTTCAGAATGAGATAAAACATCATCCCCAATTATAGAATAGCATTTAATTGAAAAAAATTCAAACAAATTCAAATTCTGTAATTAGTAACATACCATAAAGAGTCCAGAAATATGAAATCCACAAGAATCAAACTTGTTAACAGATCAAGCGGATGATATCGAACAGGTGAGTGTATAATCAAGGTCACCCCAGGTGTTCTTTCGATAGCAACATTGTCAAGCACAACTGTTCGGAGTTAATGATGTCTCTATCTGCTTCCAAGAGCAAATAAGCTAGCAAAGTAAACACGCCGTTTTGTTCCATCTGCATTTGATTCTTCAGCTCTTCTGAAAATCCCATTCTCACAATTATAGTAATACAGATCTCCACGATTTGACTTGCTAAAAGAATAGTAAAACATATCTCCTTGATTTGACTCGATCAATATTTCTCCTCTAACCTCAGCCAAAGGTCTGAAACCCATATTATCAATATACCCATCCACGGTAGAGAAGTTAATGCTGTATTCTTTTACCCATGTGTAATTACTGTGATCCTTCAACGTCCATACATCCATAATTGAAATGCAAAAGTTATCCACTAAACACAAAACCCCTTTCAGCTCAACCAAAGACAACCAATACTCAGTGAAGTCTGAATAATCTAAATCTAAATAGTACTGGGGTTAGCTAATGAGTCCAAATTCTTCCTTCTCTAAATCCAAAGATAAAACTTTTGTGGGTATGCAACCTAAATCTGAGACCATCCAATAAATAAAACCATTGACACATACCGACGTGGTGCCCTTCTCCACGTGTATACAAGGGGTTTTTCTAATCCTCCAAGAATCAGAATTACCCCACCACCATCTGTTATTGTAAACATCTCACACAAAAGATTTCTATCATCCTGGTGTTCTGGACGAAAGTCAGGAAACAAATGGGCAACTATATATTCGTTCCTAACCGGAATGAATCCAAAACCAATATCTTGTACGGCACAAATAGCTTTGGGCAATTCCAGAAGCTCATGGTTGCTAGGGTTACATACATACACCTGACTAAAGGCGATAAAACATATCAGACCAAAGCAAGAAATCCAACTACAGATATGATCACGAAAGATGGTAGTAAATTGGTCACACAATGATCCGTTATTCAAGTCAACAGTGGTTATTTTCACCACTGATATACCTGCACGGCCGTCATTTTCGCTTTCTATAGTACCATTACAAGTAGTGTATAGAGGGGTTCTATAAGATAGACGGGTGTGCATATTCAAGAACAGCTGATCAGAAGATATCAAAGCGAGCCATTCTTTAGAAACTGACCTGAACCTGCAGAGGTCCTTTACTGGGAGTCTGGTGAGTATATCGATCAGTATCTCGCCAGGTAAAGCAGTGCCTTTTGTGACCTCGTCTTTGCTGTTGATGTTCGGTACCACTCTTTTGGGAGGTTTATGTAAACCATCTTCAACATCTTCCATTTCTAGAGACAGCTTAGATGGATGATGCCTCGGAACCCTTTCACCGTTCCGAAGGGGAAAGAGAAGAGAGGTGATAAAACAAGAATAAAATAACTTTTCACATGAGACAACCTTTAATAATTAATACTTGTAGTTTATTGAAATTTAGGAAGTAAAAAGAAATAAATTAGCATTCATATTAGAAAAAATTTGGAAAGAAGGGAGTCAAGGGTTAGTTTATTAAGAATAGTATTGTAATTTAAAAGTGTATAATTTAGGATAGTATATTAGTTCAAAATGTTCATAATAACACAATTTATTTTCTCTTCTTTTTTGACCATATTTATGGGATGAAAATTTATAAAGTTAAAAAAAAAAAAAAGATGACTCATATTTCTTATTATAATTTCTCTCGTTGTCTCCTTCGTATCAAATAAATGAAATTTGGTACTTTCTTTTTATTTTCCCTCCACCTTTATTCCTTTCTTCCTGCATTAGAGTTTTAAAGGGAAGTAACATTTCATTTTATAGTGTATAAAGATATAAATAATGAAAAAAAGAGAGAGAAAAGTCTACTATGATAATGTTGTTGTTTTTAATAATTAAAATATAATGAATGCTACGCTTAAAAGTTAATCAGACCTCATTTCATTTTTTTATTATTATTGTTATTTTTATCTCGATAAGAAAGCACTCACACATTCCCTCTCACACACTATTTTGCCCACACTCGATTGAATCTACTCTATTTTGCACACACTCGGTTTAATCCCCTGTGAATGAAGATGTTATATCATTGTATCGGATACCTTTTCAAACCACAATTTTAATTTCCTAAGCCAACTAATTGAATTGGGAGAGTGATTTAGCCTACTTTTTATTCTATATAACATAATTATATTTCAAAAGTTTATAACACCTTTCTCTCACATAACTTCTTGGACTAGTTTTTTTCCTAACTAATTCTATTTTCTATATGAATTAGAGATGTGTTCCTCTCTTCGTAGTAACTCCAATGGCATTGCCCAATTTTGGCAATCTGGCCAGCAATTCCACCTCAGTATTTTTCAAGAGTCATATAAGTCTTTTCAAGGGTCACGTCAGCGTTTTACACTCTTCAAAATTTAGCTATCACATGTGCTCCAATTGTGCATTTCGCTCTCCAAAAATATTAATATTTTTAATAATTTTTTAAAAACTTTTCCTTACCGGCTATAGTTTGCATCTTATATAAACAATCATTTTCTCATCTCATCATTACTACACTCATCTTTATTCATTCTAGCAAAATTTCAATTCACATCTCCTTCAATCTCAAAATTCCAATGACTTCTTCATCACGATATTTTCCTTTGTTAGACTCTAATTCTTTATCTTCTACATCATCATCCTTATCTAGCAACCCTATTGTCGCATTGATTTAACAAAATCAAGACCTTTTAAATTTGTTTTTGAATTCAATGAACCCAGATATAGTAGAACAAGTCTTTAAACTGCGTAAGAGATGGTACATTTATCGTGATCGAATGGGAAGTCACCGTCAACTAATGAAAGACTACTTATGATGAGAATTGCACATATCCACTGGAGTATTTTCACAGACGATTCAGGATGCGACGAAAACTATTTCTTCGTATCATGAATAACGTTAAAGCTTATTACGACTACTTCGCCCCAAAAAGGGATGCAATAGGCTGTTTGGGATTGTCTTCTATACAAAAAATGACAATTACAATACGTATACTCGCATATGGTTATGTAGTCGATCATTGTGACGAGTATATTAAAATCGGTGAGAGCACTACTATTTAAAGCCTGATGGCATTTTGCAAGGCTGTTATTGGTATGTATGAGGAAGAGTACACGTGTCCACCTACCAAAGCTAACATACCACGGTTGCTACGAGAAGGGGAGGAGAGAGGATTCTTGTGTATGCTTGTATATATCAATTGTATGCACTGGGAGTGGAAGAATATCCCAGTGTCGTAGCATGGTACGCATAAGGGACACCCCCATACGCCTACGCTCATATTGGAAGATGTAGCCACAAAAGATTTTTGGATTTAGCATGCATTATTTGGAATGTTGGGTTCACACAATGATATTAATGTGTTGGATCATTCCCGGGTATTCGACAGTGTTTTCATTGCCCAATTGCCTTCGGTTAATTTCGTGGTGAATGACCATCATCACCATAGAATGGTGTATTACTTGTCTGATGATATATACCTTGAGTCAGCAACTTTGAAATAGACCATCTCGCACCCAACTATTGGAAAATAAGAACTTGTTCCTCAAAGAGACCTGGAACGAAGATGTGGAACGAGTTTTTGGGATCTTACATATCAAGTGGGCAAAAACGCGAGGACTAGTGCATTTTTGGGAGAAAGAGGCCTTGTGCCTCATAATGAAAACATGCATTATCCTTCACATTATGATTATGGAAGATGGGCATCATGCCAATGTTAGAAGATGCACTCCGCCACTAGAAGAGACAATCTTGATTTCCATATTAATTCAAAACCCATCGGTCTTTGCGGCACATAACTACTTTCGCCAAGTCCAAATTCACAATAAAAAGACAAATTTGTGGTTTATAAAAGATCTAATTGAAATTTTTGAAACCGTTTTGGTGATAAAAACGTTAAATTTATATTACATTTATTTGTTTTTAATTTGTTATAAAATTTTATGTAATAAAATATTTATTATGTAATGTTTTATTTCGGAATAAATAATTAAACAGTTTGTTGATATAAATTGTTTAGTAAATTAATAATGAAACTGTTTGTTGATTAAATCAAAGTTTTCATTTCATGTATTTATTTATAGAGGTGAAAACAAAGGCAATTTTTTTATTAAAAAGAAAAAAAAAAATCATTTTTTTAAAATAAATTTAATTTTGTTAAGAAATAAATTTTTGAATTTTTTTTTTTTTGGGGACAATATAGTCTTTAGCCGTTAACGGCTATAATAGCATAATAAGTAAAAACAAAAAACAAAAATTTTGATTTTTTTTTTTTTAGCTTTTTTTTCTGCCCAAGAAAGCCTCGAGGCACTGTTTTAACGGCTCTTTAGTTCAGTTGTGTTGAGAGAGGAAAAAAAAACCAAAAACAGCAAAAAAAAAAATTTATTTCTGACAATTGTTTTACCCAAACACGCCCTTATAAGTTTAAAACCCATTTCTCGGTCATCTATAGTGGTTGCAGTTGATTCATAAAGAAATAAATTACAATTTTACTTGGGAGTTGGGACACAACCCACGGCCAATGCAAAAGTAGGCCAAAAAGCCCATTAGGCACGGCCCACCTCCAGTGCCAAAAAAAAAAAAAAACACACAAAAAAACATCAAAACATTCAAGCCCAAGCAAACAGCCCAACCCCCAAAATCAAACCAGTATGACTATCAACCCCCATAGGTCAAGGTGGGAACCCAAACCATCAACAGAAACAGGATAATTGTAATTTTTAAACCATTAAAATCTAATATTGCACCTAAAGCTAAAAAGAACAAGAAATACAGAAACTTTAACGCCCTCGAATATTGTAATAACCTGAAATGAGGATAAAAAATAGAGATTATATAAAATCAAGCTCATTACAGACAATCCAGCCTTGATGGAGGAGAGGTCAATTTATATCAGAATTTGTAATAAATGAACCAAGGCTCAACTGTGGGAGATTGTATGGATGATGGCTTATCCTCATGCCAGGTGAACAAAGCTACTTTAATGCCATTTCTGTTTTAGGCAAGTCCCTTAAATAGTTAATACTATTCCATTCTTACTGAATAACAAAATTTTATGCTTTAAGAATAAATGCCATCAGCAACTACTAGCACCCATTTGCTCACTCCACATTATAATCAAACACTCAAATCCCACAAGCTTTGGCGGGGAAGTAGCATAGATGCTGTGTCTCTTCACACCATGGAAGGGAACATCACACACAAAAACCTGCATCAGAAAATTTAAGAATCACATCAGCATTAGTATTTATATAAACTTAAATCTCTGCCACCTATTGAAATGAACTGAACTTGTAAACTACACCAGATTAAAATGCATTATATTTGCAATAGTACTCATTGTAAAATCAACTAATACACCATAGCCATAGAAATAAAGGCAGATAGTCTTGAGGGTCCATACATTTAGGAGTATTGTACATGAAAAGTAACTAGGACTGCACAACTGCCTGATTGAAATGGCAGGGTAACAAGTTTGCTTTCAAAATTTTGGTAACACCAATCAATCAATCCATTAATATGTGCTAAACTGTATGATTATTGGACTCGAAACTTCTTTCTTCTGAGGTTGGCATCTGCATTAAATTAAACCGTTAGTACTGTAACACATGCATGACATGTTGTACATGAAAAATAACTAGGACTGCCCAACTGCCTGATTGATAATCTAGCTTTTCAAAATAGCTAAACTATGTGTCACTCTGTTCAAATAATAAAACTCATGCGCGCGCGCGCACACACACCATAAAAAATAAAAATAAAACACTTAAAAAATGTAATAGCAAGCGGTAAGATGTGAACAGAAAAGAATTTCATGAACAGCCAAGTGCAAACATGCTCAAAACAAAAGAACAAACAAGAGGAGTGCACCTCATAGTGTCAAGGGCTCAACTTAGGAAACTTCTAAAGAACATTTTAGGCCTCTCCAAAGCGACATGAGACATCAATTCCAATTCACAAATTTCAAACAATATTACGAGGTTTTAAATAAAGATGTTTAGTGCGTTAGCTCCTTGTAGAAAGGTCTTTTCTTTTAAAGGATGGTTCATTGAAGCTTTAACATTTTGGTTTAAAAACACATTCCATTTTTCTAGGAAAACATTAAAATTTCCATGATAACCCCAAGGCGTTGGCTCAAGTGGGTAAGAACTTGGCTTGGTGGGGGGAAGTCCATGATACCAAGTTGATAAGATTGTTGATGCCTTAGCCAAGGCAATGTGTGAATCAATGGAGAAATTTTCTTATATGATGATTTATCACCTATAATTAATTAAATTTAGTTTCATATGGATAAATTGGGTCCTTTTTTTTTTTTTTTTTTCCCTAGTTGGTACTCACATACACGTCTCTTCTGAGACTTGAACACATGACCTTCCTTTGAGAAGTAAGAGGATGATACCGCTAGGCCACTGGCCCGTTGGTGATAAACTGGGTCATTTAATATTAGAACTTAATTATTAATATATCTTAATGTCACTCCATCTAGCATGATAACATGCAAGTTTGGGCAACAAATACTTTTATAGAGTACAGCCTTTAACCTTTGCGACTAACCAACCCAAGGTGTCCCACATGTTATCAATATTGTTGAAGATCATCAATGCCAAATCCCCAAGAATATAAGGTGGTTATCTAATTAGGAAAAATATATGCTGAAATAAAATCTTCCAACCAACACCTGATTTAATAAAAAACACAACTTCCCTTTCTTTGATTTATGTAATTTAGTCATGATAGTGATATATGTTGGGGCACAACGGAAGCAAAAAGAACATTGAGATCCAACGAAAAACAAAATAAAATAGAGCAATCACGTAAACATAAGATTTACGTGGTTCACTCAAAATTTGGGCTACATCTAAGGAGGAAGAAATTCCACTATAATCATGTAGAGGTATTACAAAAGAAGAAAACACCGAATACAGGACCATGTACACAAACTCTATCTCCAGGGCAGGTGATAGATGCCCAAGCCTTACACCGTGTACCACTCCACAAGACTCGCATCGCCATCAGTCCTCTCTCTACCAAACTCGTAAACTCCCTCGACTCATCAACTCCTTCCACTCATAACTCTCAACAATAACCTAGGCCCAAAAATCCAATTCCTTGTTGGAAAAAGGATTACAATTATTTAGAGTCCAACACTTGCCAACCAAGAAATTACCTTATAAAGTACAACTTTAGAAACGAAATTGCAATAGAATTTGAGCCAAATTTCCTAAAAATCTCTACCTTGACTCAAATTCTATCAAGCCAATCATCGCTTCTCATGGCATTGATCCGGACAATTCCTTGCTTCAATCTTGATATCATCCGGCAAAACTCTGATTGTCCCCCCTCTCGTCAACTAATAAATTATTTTGTTTCCCATCTCTTGGTAGAGCTCGTGTGGACAAAAGGAAAAGATTGTCTGTTGAGGCAGAAGTAGAAGAACTATCAAATTACAGGAATTTAGCTATAATATAGCTTCATAAGTATGCATTTCTTAAATGGGTATGCCAATTAATAATACACATTGTATTAGGATACTACTCTTATTTCTTTTGCTCTTTTCCTTCCTTGTGAATTTGTGATATGATCTTCAAGAAACAGAACAGGAGTTTAAGGCCAGGACAGTAAGAAAATACATTTTTTTAGGTGTGTAGTCATTAATATTTTATTGATAACCTTTTGGTCAAGTCAACAATTCAAAATATTGTTTGGACCTACCATGAAATATGGGCTAATGGATCAACCTAAATTACTTAATTAGCTCAGGCACATTTCTAAAATGTATCACATGATAATTAGCTTTGTTTGGATTCATGTAAATGGTAGGCTAAAGAAGTGTGTGAAGAGGTTTTGGAAGCTCAGTTTGTTATTTTGGTGTTCTTTGACTACCTTGCGAGCTTTGTAGAGTGGTTTCAATGGCGCTAGATAACAATGTTAAGTTGAAGTTATTATATGTTCAGTTCAAGTTGTCTTTCATGCAAAGTTGAAATCTTGTGCTGGCAAGTATTCAATCATACTTTTTTTTTTTGCTTATGATATCTGCAATCTTCTTCACACTAACCTTGCAACAAATACCATGCATTATATTCTACACATCACATATGTGTGTGTGCGTATGATTGTTTCATGCAAAGTTGAGATGCCTAGAGTGATTGTTTTCGCAATCTAATCTTTTCGGATAGCTAATCCATGCGTCACTCACTTCATATAAGCGACTCATGCACAATAAAAACTAAGAATAATGTGTCATTAAGCAGTTGCAAACAAGACAACAAACTAGAGTGCAAATGATTTTCATCTATGGCAATTATAAGCATAGTACAAATAATAGAGGAGAAAGGATGTTGGCACCAACTCATAGCAACAAGCACTTACCTCATTGAACATGTGTCTTCATAGTAAGATAAAACATCATCCCTAGTTATAGAATAGCATTTAATTGAAAACATTTCAGACAAACTCATATTCTGTAACTAGTAACATCCCATAAAGAGTCCGAAAAGATGAAATCCATAAGAATCAAACATGTTAATAGATCAAATTAAAGACATCGAACATGTGAAAATATAATCAAAGTTACCCCAGGTGTTCTTTCAATAGAAACATTGTCAAGCACAATAGTTCGAAGCTAATGATGCCTCTATCTGCTTCCAAGAGCAAAAAAGCTAGCAAAGTGAATACGTCGTTTTGTTCCACCTGCATTTGATTCCTCAGCTCTTCTGAAGATCCCATTCTCACAATTATAGTAATACAGATCTCCCTGATTTGACTCTTCACAATTATAGTAAAACCGATCTCCTTGATTAGACTCGATCAATATTTCCCCTCTAACCTCAGCCAAAGGTCTTCTGCAAATATCAATATTCCCATCCACGATAGAGAAGTTAATGATGTATTTTTTTACCCAAGTGTGACTCCTGTGATCCTTCAACATCCATACATCCATAACTGGACTGAAAAAGTCATCCACTAAACACAAAAGCCCTTTCAGCTCAACCAAAGACAAACGAAAACAGTTGAAGTCTGAATAATCTAAATCTAAATAGTATTGGGGATGGCGAATGAGTCCAAATTCTTCCTTCTCTAAATCCAAAGACAAAACTTTTTCGCACAAATCAAAATCAGTGGCCAACCAATAAATAAAACCATTGACACATACCGACGCGGTACCGTTCTCCATGCTTCTACAAGGGGTTTTTCTCATCCTCCAAGAATCAGAATTACTCCCACCACCATCTGTTATTGTAAACATCTCACACCAAAACTCGTTACGTAAAAACACGTTGACAACTTTATATTCGTTCCTAGCCGGAATGAATCCCAAACCAATATCTTCAAACCAGAAACTAGCTTCGGGCAATTTCAGAAACTCATGGGTGCTAGGGTTACATACATACACATGACGCAGCGACACCAAACATATCAGACCAAAGCAAGAAATCCAGCTATAAACATAATCATGAAATATGGTAGTAAATTGATCACACAATGTTCCGTTGTTCAAGTCGAGATCGGTTATTTGAACCATTGATACACTATTGCCATTTTCGCTGTCTCTAATGCAATTACAAGTAGTGTATAGAGGGGTTGAATTAGATAGACGGGTGTGCATATTCAAGAACAGTGGATCAGAGGATATCAAAAGGAGCCATTCTTTAGAAACTGACCTGAACTTGCAGAGGTCCTTTACTGGGAGTCTGATGAGTATGTCGATCAGTATCTCAAGAGGTAAAGAAGTGCCTTTTGTGAACTCGTCTTTGTTGTTGATGTTCAGTGCCACTCTTTTGGGAGGTTTATGTAATCGCTCTTCGCCATCTTCCATTTCCAGAGAAACCCTAGATAGATAGGGTGTGTTTGGTGGGGTTGATTGGGAGGGACAGGGAAAGAAAAGAAAAGAAAGAATAGTACGAGAGTGTTTGGATAACTTAATTGAAAAGAAAAGGGAGGATAGGGAGGGATAATTATCCTTCCTTATCCCTTATAAGCTTTCTCTCCTAATTTGAGAAGATAGGAGAGAAAGGATAGTGGAGTAAGTTGTAAATTCTTAACACCAGAAATACCTTCCACAAATCAATATAAAGAAAAGTTATTCTATTTATGTCATAATTTTGTTTTTATCCATTATTTTTATTTTTTTCTTTTTTTACTTTTGTTTTTACCCATTGGATTGAACTATCACAAAGAAATATTCCAAATATCATATGTGAGATTTTGGAAATGGATAATATATGAAGTGGTTATGAAAGGGTAGGATAGTAATTTGGTCACTATTATTTCTTTTCTTTTCTCTTCTCTATCTAATCCAAACATGAATAACTATCATTTTTTTTCTTATCTCCCTGTCTATCTAAACATGAATTAAAATTATTACTATCCTTTCTTTTCTTTTCTTTTCTTTTCTCTCTTAAATAATACTATCATTTCTTTTCTTTTCTTCCCTGTCTGTCCAAACACACCCATAGATTTCTCAAAACCCAACTGCCCGCTGCCCGTTCACAGGGGAAACATCGATAAGAGACGTAAATAAATAAAGGATTAAATACACTCACACCCCCTGAGGTTTGCGTTATTTACAGCTAGATGAAAGTTAGCATTTTTTTGAACAATGACACCTCTTCAAGTTTGATAAAGTTAATAAAAACCCCCTAATCATTATCTCCCACATCTGGCACACGATAAAATGACCTAAATGTCCTTTGACTTGTCAATAACCACATTTAAATTATGAAATGACTTAAATGCCCTCTATAAGTAATTTTAATCCCCTCATTATATTCACAGTCCACCACAAAATAATTATATATATCGTGCGCGCGCGTGTGTGTATATATATATATATAATTTCAGCATCAATGGAGATCCAGTATATAAGAGCATCAATGTAGATGTCTCTCTCTAAAGACTCTTTCCTTCTATATCTAGATGCCAATGGAGATTCATCAATAGAGATGTTTCTCTCTAAAGACTCCAGATGTCCGTGTGTGTGTATATATAAATTCAATACTTCATTTCCAAATCATCCCTCAAGCTTCAAGCAATGAACCAAACCAAAAATTAATTGCAAAACTCACAAAATTTAAGAAAAGAATAAAAATAACAAATTGATTATTCAAAAACAACCTGAATATAAAGTACAAATACAATGTTTACACACACTAATTAAACTGATCCCATTATTGTTGTTTGGCATTCCCCAAAATTAATAGAATAACATAAAAATAGGGTTAGAGAAGAGTCACCAGTAAAATTTGCAGAGGGTTAGGGTTTGAACTGATAGAGTTGGGGTTAGAGAAGAGTAACAGAGAGTTTGGTCTCACAACTAACAAATCCACTCTCACCATACCCGACCATAGCTGCACGATTTGAACCCAAACAACAACTCTAATCGCCAACGATCTTGTCGGAATCTGCCACAATCGTCGCCCGAATATTCCCAAGCTTTCATCATCATCAACTGTCGTTGTGTTTTCACTGCTGCATCGTCGCCGAAATCTGATACCGTCGTCGTCCTTGGAGTGTCTTCACTGCTGCATCATCGCCAACAACCACGGTTAGAAAGCAGTTGTGTCAATTTTGGTTGTCACCGGAGCCTTCTTGTCGGATCTATGCTGTCGGAATCTTCATCAGAGCTTTCCGGGTAGCAAGATGTGGAAAAAGACATTCGGATCGTTTTTAGGAAAGACTTAAAAGAGATGAGAAAAAGTAAAAAATAAAAATTGAGTATTAATATTGCATTTTCTCATTTAGGGCATTTCGGTCATTTAATGTTTTTGATATTTTATATTAAAATTTAATAAGATATTAAAGGGTAAATTAGACATTTCAAATATTTAAGGCTTTGTTTGGATGCGAAATCTGACGGGGTCTCATTGTTCAAAAATTAGTTAACTTTCATCTGGCTGTCAATAATGCAAACCTTAGGGGGTGTGAGTGTAATTAACCCATAAATAAATTCATAGTTTATTGAAATTGAGGAAGTAATTAAAAAATCAATATATATATATATATATATATATATATATATATATATTAATATTACAACGTTTTGAACTATCAATTCTGTATTTAAGGTTCAATTTATCTCTTATATTTTCGAAATATAAAAAATGTAAAAGAAAAAGAAGAGTCTATGATGATAATGTTGTTATTATTAATAATTACAAAGATAACACCTTAAATTTGAACAAAAGAGGTATGTTGACGTGACTCTACACGAATTATGTGCATTCTAAAAGTCAATTCCACCTCACTTTTAATTTACTAGGCAACTAATTGAATTGGGAGATTATTTTGGCCTGTCATTTAATTATATATAAAACAATTAAACCAAATAAATTTTGTAAAACCTCTCCGTCTCTCACATATCTTCTTGGATTACTTTAAATAAAATAGATTTAAAAAAAAAAACCAATTATAATTTTTTTTTATGTGAATTAAAGATATGTTTATCTCTCCATGTTTTCAATTGAGCTCTTTGGAATTTTTTTTAATGATAAAGTACGCACCCACAATATTTGTACTCTATTCAGCACAGGACACTAGAGCAGGATTATAGACATACAATGAAGTTTTTATTCTTATTTTTTTCATACATACAATGAAGTTCAAAGTGCAGATTTGAAAAGCATAACAAACTGTGTTTATTGGACTCAAAACTTCTTTATTCGGAGGTTGGCATCTGCATCAAACCAATCCATTAGTATTGTAACACATGCATGACATGTTGTACATGAAAAAGTAATTAGGACAGCCCAAGTGCCTGATTCATACTCAGCTAGCTTTACGAAATAGCTTAACCCATGTGTCACTCTCTTCAAATAATTAACTCATTGCACACACACACAAAAAAAGAAAAAAAAACTTGAAAAATATTATAAATATATATGTATATAGAGTAATGTGAAGAGACAATAGAAAAAAAATATAGAAGGAGCAAGAGATATGTTATTAATATATTTTCTGATGTACATCATGAAGAACAAAATTAAGTAGATATATATAGGCTACAATCCAGCTTTCTATGGAAACTAATGTAAACATTTTCTCCTCACGCAAAGGTAAGTAGTGAATCATTATAGGTGACATAATTTTCAAGGTGTGGCTGACGCAAGGTCTGATGCGCGCGCGCACACATATATATATATATAATTCATGCCTTAGTACTTGATTGCATTACCTAATAGGTAATGTCGTGGATCCCACTTCCATAATACTCCCTTTGAAATCTACTATGTTACATTAAAAATATATCTCGTTAAAACCTTGTTAAGGAAAATTCAATGGAACAAAACCCTAGCGAAAGAAAAATAGTGTATTATTCTTATATATATGAAAATGGTATTATATAGGTTAAAACTGCCTCATTAAAACCTTGTCAGGAAAACCCAGTGGGACAAAACCTGGATGAAGGAAAAAAAGTACAGTATGTCAATACCTCTTCAATCAATTGTTCCTCCTCATTATTGCATTAGATCAACCCTGAAGATTCTTTAGTTGACGCATTCCAATGTTGTGCACCAACTTCTCGAATATTGTAGTTGGAAGTGCTTTAGTAAATAAATCTACTAGATTTTCACATCAACGAATCTTCTGAATATCAATATCACCCTTTTCTGGCGTTCATGTGCATAAAATAATTTTGGTGAGATGTGTTTGGCCCTATCACTTTTAATATATCCTTCTTTCATCTATGTAATGCATGCGGCGTTATCTTTATATAATACTTTTGGACTATCTTTTATTAATAAGAGACCACGTGTTGTTCGAATATGTTAGATCATTGACCTCGACCAAATGCATTCCCTACTTGGCTCATGAATTGCGAGTATCTCATAATGATTTGAAGAAGTTACAATCATTGTCTATTTCATAGATCGTCGTGATATAACAGTGCCGCCACAGGTAAACACATATCTTGTTTATAATTGAGCTTTATGTGGGTCAGAGAGAAAACTAGCGTCTTGCTAATAAATTGACTGAAAAGACTATGTCAGGCTGTGTTTTCGATCTCGTCCAATGTTTCCACAAGATTCAGATCATCAAATACACTGCAATAATAACAAAACCAGATTCTGATTTGTTAATAAAAATGCATCGACAAGGATGATTGTGCACATATCCTTCTTTGAGTAAATACTCGCTAAGGCGATTGTATCACATTCACCCAGATTGCTTCAATCCATATAAGGATCGTTGTAATTTTACCGAATACATACTACGTGGTTTTGTTTCAGGCATTTTAAATCCTTATGGGATTTTTATATAAATATCACTATCTAGTGATCCATATAAATATGTTATAATTACGTCCAATAGATGCATGTGCAATTTTTTTGTGACTGCCAAATTGATTATAAAGTGGAATGAGATTTCATCTATCATAGAAGAGTATATCTCCTCATAAGTAATATCATGTTTCTGTGAAAACCTTAAGCTACCAATCAGGCTTTATATTTCATAATTTTATTAGTATTCTCATTTCGTTTTCGTATAAACACCCATTTGTACTAAACAGGCTTTACACCCTCAGGTGTCTGGACCACTAGTCCAAAGACTTCTAGTCTAGCTGATGTAGTTAGCTTTGCATGTATTTCTCTTTTCCATGATGGCCAATCATGTCTTCGTCGACTTTCTTTGATATTCTGAGGTTCCGGATCCTCGTTATGTATATTAAGATCAATTGTATAAGAAGTATCCACGACAATTTCATTTATGTTCCATTTCTTTTCATAATTTATTGAGATCTCATTATTTTCAGGTACATTTGAAATATTATCATAGTTAGCTAACTTGACCTCGTCAGGTCTTTGTGCCTTGTCAGGTTCTTTTGCCATATAAAGGGCAATTTTATCACTGTTAGCTAATTGGGTCTCTTTAGGAGTACCATTGTCATCATTCGT